AAGGACTTGTATGCATGCATATAAGCATAACCAATGAACATAAGACACTGGGGGGTAGGGGAGGCCAAGGGATTGTCAAGGGTGGGGGAAAAAAAAGGACACATATGTAATACCCTTTGTAATACTTTAAGCAAAACAAAACTAAACAAAACAAAAAACCTTAAGTCACATCATTTAAAAAATAAAAATGGGGGAATTTGCCGGAAGCCAGTCATCCTTGCTGCTTGACACAGTCGCTGCAGGGAAGAAACATCTGCACAGCATATGTTTCAAGGGACCTGGCAGATATGACATACTGTTATTAATATGTTTGCTCCCCTTCTTGGCGCTATGTGTTTAAACCAAGGTCACCTCTCTGAGAAAGGTTGTTTTCCCAGGTAGGGATTTTCCCCTGAAGTTAGGGAGGGAATAAAACCCCTTAACTAAGTGCCAGGCGGGTAGTTAGTCACTTTAACTACGAACAATCACACTTAAGCTACATAATCTTTACTCCCTGGAATGGAGATAAGAAACGCCCTAACCTTTGGAATAGAAATTGATAGGATTACAATCAACTGGTATAAATACAGATGTAACAAAACAATAATACACAGAACCTAGCTGGAGATCCTGGCTAGAACCTGGCTAGAGAACCTGACTAGGCTGCTGATCAACTGAACGCTGTCTTCGTGTCATTCCTTCTTCGCCGACTCCGTCCACACCTTTGGGAACCCCTGGACCTGCTGGGGCTGGACCCCAACAGGGAAGCACATCAGAGCACATCGCTGACAGCAGCTCAGCATTGGGCCAGGATCATCCAGCGTGAGCGTCTGTGTCCGTGAGGAGAATGGCATCTCAAGACAAACCAGCCAGGAACGGTCCCTGGGCAGGAAACTTCAAGCTTAGAATTCACGGAGGACCCATCAACCAGGAGGGAGAGGAGGTGGAGAAGTTCGGCTTCCCCAGCCCTGGATTCATCTCATTGAACAAGGTCAGCCGCGGGCTTGGGAAGGCGGAGCTGCAGGGCATCTATTGGTCTTTCTGCTCGTGGCTGCAGCCAGACAGGCACAGTAAGCTAGAGATGATTTTCCAACTGTCAGTGGAGCAGTTCCTGCTCAACAGGCCCAGCAGCGAGAGGGCTGCGTGGCGGGAGAAGTGGGAGTCGAGTGGCAGAGACCTGGAGGCATTCATGGAGCACCTGGGGGATGAGGACCTGAGGCCCCCCAGAATGATACATCTCAGCATGGGGGGGCAGGACGCCCTGTTCTCGGAGAACATGCCCATAGGACAGGTCCTGGCCCACCTCCAGGAGCAGTGCTCAGCAGCAGCGGCCAAGGCGCTCACCCCGGGGACACCCTCCCCGCCTCCCCCAGAGACACCCCCACCAGCAGCACCAGGAGATGCAGATGAAGATGGCGACAACCTTTCCAGTCCAGACCACCAACCCCTGGAGGAAGAGAGCCCTCAGGGCCCCGCAGAGAGCGAGGTGTCCGGGGAGAGTCCACGCAGCTCCGGTTCAGCAAGTCCGAGCGCCCCCACTGCCCAGGAAGAGCCTCCCCGAGAGGAGGCGCCCCGGGAGGCGGGGGGCGCCCAGAAGCTGTACCGGTGCGACCAGTGTCCCCGGGTCTTTGAGTACCTCTGTCGGTTCCAGCTGCACCAGAGGAGGCACAACAACGAGCGGCCCTTCCTTTGTGCCACGTGCGGCAAAGGCTTTTTCCAGGCCTCTGACCTGCGCGTGCACGAGCTGATCCACGCGAAGGAGAAGCCCTTCCGCTGCGGCCGCTGCGACCGCGCTTTCAGCCACCGGACCAACCTGCAGGCGCATGAGCGCATCCACACGGGCGTCAAGCCCTACACGTGCGCTCAGTGCGGGAGGACCTACCGTCAGTCCTCCACCTACCACCGCCACCTGCGGATGCACCAGGGGCAGGCCAACTAATCTGGGGCCTCCGCGCCCGCGGACACCGCGCGCGCCAGCTCCTCTCTGAAGTGACTCTCCTGTTTGGAACGGCAAAAACTTTTTCTCTTTTTGGTGTTGGTTAAAAGGGAACATAAGACATTTAAATAAAAATTTCCAAAAAATAAACAAACCCCTAAAAACAAGCAAAAAGTCCATCAACTGATGAATTATTCATCAAAATGTGGTATATTCATACAATGAAATACTATAGTCCTCCACCTACCACCGCCACCTGCGGATGCACCAGGGGCAGGCCAACTAATCTGGGGCCTCCGCGCCCGCGGACACCGCGCGCGCCAGCTCCTCTCTGAAGTGACTCTCCTGTTTGGAACGGCAAAAACTTTTTCTCTTTTTGGTGTTGGTTAAAAGGGAACATAAGACATTTAAATAAAAATTTCCAAAAAATAAACAAACCCCTAAAAACAAGCAAAAAGTCCATCAACTGATGAATTATTCATCAAAATGTGGTATATTCATACAATGAAATACTATTTTTAGCCGGAACCGGTTTGGCTCAGGGGATAGAGCG